GAGGAGGAGGAGGAGGAGGAGGAGGAGGAGGAGGAGGAGGAAGGATGAAGAATCCAAGGTCTCCAAGGCCCCAGGGATGAACCTAATATTATTTTGCTAAACGGACAGAGCATTCAACGCCCTCTCTCTGAAGCTGTATCTCTCTCTCTGTTCTGCATTAGTGCCTGTCTCAGACCCCGTCAGAGAAAATTCTCTGCACAGTGCACAGTGCACAGAGCACAGTGGACAGTGCACAGCGGACAGTGCACAGCGGACAGTGCACAGTGGACAGCACAGTGGACAGTGGACAGTGGACAGTGCACAGTGGACAGTGCACAGTGGACAGCGCACAGTGGACAGTGCACAGTGCACAGCGGACAGTGCACAGTGGACAGTGCACAGTGGACAGTGCACAGTGGACAGTGCACATCGGACAGTACACAGTGGACAGTGCACAGCGGACAGTGCACGGTGGACAGCGCAGTGGACAGTGCACAGAGCACAGTGGACACTGCACAGTGGACAGTGGCTAAGGCAGACAACTGATCAAAGTGCAGAGAAGTGTTTGTGGAGCACTCAGCCATAAACAGGACAGAAGCACTTCTCTCTCTCTCTCCCTCTCTCTCTCTTTCATACACACACACACACACACACACACACACACATATCAAGGCCCAGGGACGATCACAGGATGGGAGGGCAGGAGGCAGAAAGCTTCTAAGAGCCAGAGGCCAGGAAGACTGGAATACAACAGCGTCTTTCGGATGTGACAGGATCATGAGCTCCCAGCAGGTGTGGCTGTCTGCACAAGATCAAGCCAGGAGACATTCCACAGAGCAGAGGGGAAGAAGGCCCCACTGCTAACCGAGGAGCTGTGGGTGGGCAACGGCTTCTGGGGGAGGGACAGTCAGTTTCCTTTAAGGGTGTGGGTCCTGGAAGGTTGAGCATGATCCAGTAAATGACCCCACACTATGCATGTATGACATTCTCAAATAATTAATAAAAAGAATGCATTTATCTTTTAAAAAGAATAGAAGAGTAGCTTCCTGTTTTCCTGGGACCCAATGCAAGATTACCTGAATAAGAAAGACTGTGTCCACGGCCTGGGAATGCCCCAAGTCATCAAGGTACGTCTCCTGGTAGAGATCCGACACTGCCACCAGGCGGAGCAGAAAGGCAGCAGTCAGGATGGCTATGGTGGCAGCAGACGCCGTCAGTGTCAGGAGGTAGATGAGGAAGTACCTGGTGTTCCAGGCCCCGATGCAGTTGTTCACCCAAACACAGTGATGGTCAAAACGGTGCACACAACGGTCACATACCCCTGCAAAGAAGGGAATGGTTCGGACGGCCTTATCCTTGGTGAGCCGATTCAAAGCAGACCCTGGAGTTTTCACTGACTGAGCACAGATGGTGAGGGCAGGGCAGCTGTTATCACCAAGCTTTTGGAGCTGCAGGGCACACGGCTAGGAAATGGCTCTGGGGTAAGAATACTCGCTATACAAGCAGGCCTGGAGCTCAGAGCCCTAGATGGACAGACGCCAGGCAGGCTTGGTTTGGCAGCCTCCCTGTAACCTCCATAGGCAGAGACCAGATTCCCTGAGCTGGCTACCTGGATTGGCTGAACGAATCAGTGAGCTCCAGCTCAGCCCTCCATATGTAAATGGCTGAAGAAAACGCTTGACATCAAGCTCTAGCCTCTGCACACACATGCCAGACAACTACCCAGACATACACACACATGCCAGAC